CGTTGCCACCGTAGCTGCGATTTCGTGAGATTGCTGAGCGTGAACTCATGTATGCCTTAGCACCGATGACACTTAAAGATCACAAAGAGCTCGAGAAGGATTGGTTGATTTTTGGATTCCCCTAGTGGATTATTTCAATGGTAATTTCAGGATCCTAAAATGGAGGTACTGTACCGTATATTAATGGAAGGTACCTCCAATTTAGGTTCCTAAAATGGCCATTGATTATTTCATAATTCCCAATATATTGGGTAGATTTGGGTAGTATAATCCCCGAACTAATCATCAACCAACCAGGTTTAGCAGCGGGTCGAAACATGCTGTATGGATGTTCATGGTCGTCCATCCAACAATGGTCCCCTAACGACTGGGAAACTAAACCATGCTTTGATCGTGACACAACTTGGCTTCCAATTGCAAGGGCACAACTTACAACTGATCCAGCAAGCGACTCTTCTGCAAGTGGTACGGCAATACAATATCCTCTTCTGTGAAACCTCCATTGCGATCACATTGAGCAGTGTAGGAGTTGTAGAGCCTAGCTTGTTCTGGACTGACAATGCAAGGTCCTGGACGCTTGCGGGACAGGACTTTCCGACCCTGCGAAGTTGTTTTGAGACTTCGTTTTCACACATTTTCACACATTGGTCATCCCTTCCACTTCTTCAACCACCCGTCACCACCCCTTGATGGCCGCTTTCGGCCCATCTGTCCTGTCTGCCAGTACTCTTTGTGCAGACGCGAGCCTCCAATGATCTGATTCTGAATCGCCACACGGCCAGGCTGGGGGTCGGTATCCAGGTTTTGCCGATAGTACTTCGGAAGCCACACATTCACGGTCCATTCCATGTGTGCTTGCGTGCCGTACCTCCAGGGAAAAGCTGAATCTTTAGGTCTTTCTAAACAAAGGTCACGTGACATCTTGAAACATCGTGACACCTGTGAACGGAGGTGGCCCGTTATTAAGCGTCTTGACTTACTTTGGCACATGACGTCTTTTTTTGCGTGTTTACCTCAAAGCATCGTAATTCTCGAAATACACCGAGAATGCATTGCACCTTCCCTAAAGCAGAATCTTCAATCCACTTTCAATCCACTATTTTTGTTGGGGTAAGCGGGTCCCGAACCCCCCATCCACAAAACTCCAATCGTCAAATCCATTGGCATGGCAGACAAAACCAACCAAAACCAACATATAAATCATCACATTGTACATCCATCATCATCCATCAACATCGGATAACATGGGCCTATCCGCTCTGATGGCCGGCTTCCACAAACTGTGCAGATTGTGGTACAAGGTGTTTCGTGAACGCCACGCATTTGTCACGTCCACGTGTGTGGTGGCGAAGTAGAAATAGGCCTCGATGATCGACAAGTTATTTTTTCCAGGAGGAGAATAAGAATCAAAACAACATGGACTTGGAATTTATATATATATACTGTATATATATATATATATACACATATAACCTCTATACATATAACCTCTATATATATACATAATCATACATGTCATATTTATCTATATATATATACATATATATAGATAGATACGCGCAAACATCCCGTTTCGCTCACACCCTTCTTGAACAATGGTATTGGGGAATGTAAAATTCCCACCCCCGTTAAACTTTACATTCGATTGGGAAGATCAACATTTTTTTAGGGGATATAAAAGTCACACCCCCGCTCAACTTTACATTCAGTTAGGAAGATCAACACTGGTATTAGGGAATATAAAAGTCACACCCACGTTAAACTTTACATTCAATTGCGAAGATCAACAATGGTATTAGGGAATATAAAAGTCACACCCCCGTTAAAATTTACGTTCAAATGGGGAGATCAACAATGGTATTAGGGAATATAAAAGTCACACCCCGGTTAAACTTTACATTCAGTTGGGAAGATCAACAAATGCATTAGGGAATATAAATGTCACACCTTTTGCTATCTATCTATCTATTTTTTGCTATCTATCTATCTATCTAGCTATCTATCTATCTAACTATCTATCTATCTACCTATCTATCTATCCATCTATCTATCTACCAAATCAATCTATCCTCCTATCTATCCTATAGATCCTATCTATCTATCTATCTATCTATCTATCTATCCATCTATCCATCCATCCATCCATCCATCCGTCCGTCCGTCCATCCATCCATCCATCCATCCATCCACCTCTCTATCTATCTCTCTCTCTCTATCTCTCTTTCTTATCCTATCTATCTATATTTCTATCTTTCTATCTTTCTATCTTTCTATCTATCTATCTATCGATCTATCTATCTATCTATCCGTTCTTTATTTCTACATTTCTTTCTTTCTTTTTTTCTTTCCTTCTTTTTTTCCTTCTTTCTTTCCTTTTTTCTTTCGTTCTTTCTTGCTGTCTTTCTTTCTTTCTTTCTGTCTTTCTTCCTTTATTTCTTTCCTTTTTCTTTTCTTTTCTTTTCTTTTCTTGTCTTTCTTTTCTTTTCTTTTCTTTTCTTTT